AAATATATAAAAGGAGGAGAATTTATTTATTTTTAAAATATCATTTTGATATGATGTGCATTCTGGGATGTTTTTTTCCCTCTCACAATTATAGGTGTTATCTCAGCGGGAAAATAATCCTTGTAAATTAATATAAATTAATCTTAATAAACAGATAGAAATTATCACTTTATTGAGATACACTTAATTTAAAGTTTGTAAATTGTAAGTTAAATTCTTTTTAGTTCCAACTCTATTAGATATGATGACTTGATGCAAACTGTAGAACAGCAACGACGTTTGATTGACGCCAATCGGCGAATGATTCATGATCGTGAGTTACGTGGGAATCGTGTCGATAATGCACCTATACGTTTAGCTGTCCTCAGGAATGAGGTCTGTGTTATCAAAATTCTTATTTAATAGTTATCAGAAGATAATTTAATAATTATCAGAGCAGAACGTTAGTAATTATAACTGATGAGATGTTTTCGTAATTATGTAGTTAATGAGTATTGGACTGAAATAATATTAGAATTTTACGAACGGATATTCAAAGATTTTTGATTTCAAATGTGCAGCTTTTATTATGAAGCAAAGTATAATTTTCGGTCATTTTATAAAGTGATAAATCAGTGAAATTTTTTTTTTGGATTTTCCAAAATAACCTTAATTTGTGAAATTTTTATTCAGTGATCTTAATTTTGATAAGTTATGAAACCAAATCTTTCTCTATTTCTCTTTAGCATTATATACAATTTTAATTAGTTTGTTACAATCTTTCCTTATTCCGCCTCTTTCTATTCGATTATTTTATGTCATTTTATAGATACTGTTTGAGGAACGTGAAATGGCTCGTTTAAAAATGATAGAACGTGAAACACAGGAAGCAGCAGCTCGTCGAAGGATTGCTGAAAGGCAATTGAGTGATTTGCAGATTAGTTATACGTCACAGGAACAACATTTAAGAAGTGTGATTTCTAAGATTACTTCCTTACAGGCACAGGTACGAATACATTGTTTTTGTTTAAACTTAGTTTAATCTTTAAAGTGATTCAGTTGTTTAACATTAACAAAATTAATTTACAATTACTTTTTCCTCTTCTCCAGTGAAATGTTTTTTTAAGTTATGAAGATGAGTACATGAGATCTGATAAGTGTAAAGCATTGTCAACTATGCCATTTAAGTCTCGTGAAAAAATTAGATTCGTAAACTGAATGAATGTAATTTGAATGAAGAAAAAAACTGCAGTTAAATGAAGGTGTATGGTTTGGTTGAGATATATTCATTCGTAATTTCTCATTTTTTCTTGATTTAAGTTGGATATATTACGTCGTCGTCGGTTGATAGCATTAAATGCCGCTCGGGAACAGCAACAGAAATTGATGAACTCGCAACTGAGGCCTACAAGCGTTAGTGTATTTGATTTTTAAATTTTCTTATCAAATACTCAATCTCACTAACAATTAATTTTATGACTAATGAAAAGAGAGAATCAGTTAGAATTGTTCTTGAATCAAATCATTGAGTTTCACTGTGATTTTCTCTTTCTCTCTTTATTATTAATTTACTGAATTTAGAAAAAAGAGAATAGAAGTATTTGTCCGTTTCAGTGTTTCATTCTCGTTATAATTTGTTAAATTTTGAATTGCAAAAATGTTTTACAGTTAACATGCATTCAATTTATTGCTATGTTTTACTTTAAAACTGAATTTTTCAGGTCGATACTACGCAAACATTATCTATAATGTCATCATCATCAGTTGCAGCATCAAACAGTGATATCATTTTACGAAATGATACTAATGGATCGAAATCTCTCACATTAACTTCCCAGAATTCAGCACCTCATATTAGGCGAATGGATTTTCTAGGAAATGACATTGGAATATTGCAGCAGATTCCACCTACCTCAGATTCTGGAAGGTTAAGACATCCTTCTGTTGATTTGCCCTATCGACCAAGAGCGTCTATTGAACCTTTTCAAGTAATTTATTTATGTTATCATATCAGCAAGCTTTTCAGCTATTTAAAGTCATTTGCTAAGATTATTTGCTTCTTGTACCCACATTTTTGATAGTTTAAAGTATTTACGAAAAAAAGGACTTAATGTCACATTTTGAATTCTTAACAACACTTAGATTAAGCTAAGTTTTTTTCATTTAATTCTCAATTTCCTATTTCTTTATTGGTTATCAGTTTACACTTGCATTCTAAATCATCCAAATAGTATTAGTAAATAATTCGGGATATGATAATTATTTCCAGATTACTCAGTCAAAATCTCTCGTGGATACCAAATCTGAGCTGTCTTCAAGCTGTCCTCCTCAGCTCCTAAATAAATCATTCAGCGTTTCTACGTTTGCAAGAGACAAGTATCGTATTTTGCTGAATATTTGATAATTGATTCTAGCCAGTTTTTAGTTTATGTATATGCTAAAGAAATACTAAACCGGTGCATATTTTAAACTTTTGGCATAATTTTTTAAATTATTAGCTTTGATTCATTTCATAAGTTACCTTTGCAGCTATGAATGTTCACTTAGCTTAGTGGTACCATTCTTCAAATCTTATTCATATTGAAATATTCTTATTCCAAAGTAAAATTTTTTAAATTTGAACTGATTTTCAAATTTTGATTATAATTTAATTCTTCAGAGCAAATTTTACCTATGTGGATCGTAATAGTTCACCTTCACCACCGAAAGATCCATATCCAACAGTTGAAAATACATTTAATAATGAAAGAGCAAAACTGGAGGAGAAGACGTTCGATGCAGTTGATCACCTAAGTAAAAAATTATCATCGTCTACATCTGAAATAGTGGAAAAGCTTGTGCCGCAAGAACAGAAGAATATCATTATGAAGTCGAATAGTACTGCAGTAATGCAAGATGAACAGTTACCGTCAAAGACAGTCGATAGTACGAAACTAACGGGAGCAGATCAAATCTCTATACGACCCGATACATTACGTGCTGCAAAGAGAAGGTTAGAAACTGTATTCTTTTTCTTCGTTTTTTTTTTTTTTTTTTTAAGAAATCTTGAATTTACGATACTCTTCCATATTTTTTAAAATGTTTATTTATCCGTTAATTTTTTTCTATAATAACGAGAAGTTAAATGAGTTCAGATTATTTAACTACTTCAATTTTTCGTTTCTTCTCAGATCCTGGGCTCTTCAAGATGGTGCATCATGCGATGAAACGGAATACATCCGGAAGATTTTACTTGACGAACAGAAAAAGGGTCGTACTCATTTATTGGTCGGATGTAATATTGGCAATCTTTTTGCCGTTGCAAACAAGGTGTATATTGCAATTACCACTCCAAAAATATGGCTTTAAATTTAAAAAAAAAAATGAACTTTTTGATTTCAAATAAAATTTTAGTGGAATATTGGTTATTTCAATTAAAACCTCAAATATCCTAAAAATTTTTACTCATATTATTCGTATGCACAAAATGTACATCTATTATAAAATCAGTTAATCGATTGACTTCGATAGTTAGCTACTAATTGGACTGATACATTCTGAAACCATTGCTGAATTCCAAATTAGTTTAGATTAATCAGCTATATGACGAATTATTCACTTAATTTAATTACTCGTTAAACCGGTATACATATTATTTGATATTGTAAAATAGAATTCGACGTAGAATTTACACTCTCAATGTATAGATAGAAATGATCTTATGTGACTGATATAAAAAATTGTTCAGTGTTAAATGGATATTTCAGAGTGCAACTGCAATAAGCAAACCGGAAATAATTCATGAAGAAGAAAAGGAAACTGTGGAAGATACTACGACAACACCTCCCGAATATGTATGTGAACTTCTTATGAAGGATACTCAACTTGATGAATTACCAGTTGAAATTGACGAAGTGGAAGAATATGGGCAAGAAAAGGTGTCTGTTAATAAGGAAGATGTTGGAGAAGTAATTAATGGAATGGAAGTGAAAAATAAAACATCGGGTATTGCAGAACTTATCAAGCCATTACCGAAGAAGGTATTTTAATAATTTCTCACTTTTTAGTCTTATTTTCTCTTCTTAATTTTATATTTTTTTTCTTGTATATCCCATTCTTAGGACTTGTTTCATCTTTTACTCATTCATTCATTCATTTATCTCTGTTGACATTCATGAGATGAATGTATTAATAAATGAGTGGTATTATTTTGATGTACACTGAAGGAGAGGAAAAAACATCCCACAATGTACATCATATCAAAATGAGATTTTAAAAATAAATAAATTCTTCTCCTTTCATATATTTTTAAAATAAAAATAATAAAAAAAGTTACTATTGGATGTTAGTTAAGGATTTTTTTCACATTTAAAGCTTCATTGTTTCAAATTATTGCAAGTGTTTTAGGGTATTCTTCGTCTCAGCAAAGTTAAAAAAGTTCCAAGAACAGTGGTTTTCGATCCGCTTGCATTATTATTAGATGCAGCTCTCGAAGGTGAAATGGATCTGGTGAAAGCAAGTGCCGCAAAGGTTTTTTATTTCTGTTGTAATTTGACGAAACTTTTATTCCAGCATAAACTGCAAATTTTCGAAGTATTTGTTTGTTGGATTTTAAAGATTTCATCTTGCAAAAAAAATGGTCTTAATTTTGAAAATGACTTCCGAGTTTTTTGTCTTGAAAACTGCGCAGTAGTTGTAGAATGGAACTATGGATCAATTTTATGCAATTAAATAATTTATCTATAATACTTATATTTTTCTTGCAGTTGCCAAATATATCAGCTTGTAATGATGAAGGGATTACAGCGCTGCATAATGCAATTTGTGCTGGTCATTATGAGATTGTGCGTTATTTGGTGGATTCGTTTGCTGATGTAAATGCGCAAGTATGTTAATTAATTTTTGTCGATTTTGCTATTTATTTGAATTCATTTAATAAGAAATTTGAAAATTTCTATGAAGTTAGAAAATTTTCAAAAATTGTAATGTGTAAAACTTTGTTGTAAGTTTACTACAATTTGTTTGTTATGCCATAACATTTTTTCTCTTGATTCTATATTTTTATTATCAGAATTTAAATTCATATGCTTTGTTTGTTCAGGATTCAGATGGCTGGACACCATTACATTGTGCTGCGTCATGCAACAATTTGCCAATGGTAAAGTTACTGGTGGAAAATGGTGCGTGCATTTTTGCACAAACATTATCAGACCTGGAAACACCAGTTGAAAAATGTGAGGAAGATGAAGATGGTTATGAAGGTTGTCAGCTCTATCTCAAAGCTGCTGACCAGGAAGCTGGAGTTGTGAATGATGGATTAGTAAATTTTTTTTTTTTCATTACTAACTTTCACCATCTTATTATAGTGTATTTTATGCTGTTTTAAATCAATTTTTATGAAGAAAAATACAAACTATTGATTAAACTTTAATTTTTTTCTTTCGTTTGTTTTTCAATAATTTCCGAACTTTTAACTAATTTGTTAAATTTGCTAGCTACAAAATAAATTTTTTTCAGATGTATGCAGCATATGATTATGATAAAGAACAAGAAGATGAATTAAGCTTTCCGGTTGGTGCATGTTTGCGGGTATTGGAAAAAGGTGTCGATGGTAGGACATGGTGGCTTTGTGAGATTACAACGGCACATTGTGCTATCAGAAATGAGACATCTAAACGAGGCTTGGTACCACGAAATTACTTATCACTCTATCCAAGCTTATCAAAACGAAATACTGATTTCAAAATGTTTGATTTACCGCAATTACCTAAAATTCATGATTCAAAAAAAGATAATACGAATGACAAAGAATGGCGAAGGAGTAATTCAATGAATGAAAAAATTGCTGGGGAAAATATTGAAGGGACAATTGTTGAGCAATCAATACCAATTTCAGTTTCATAGTATGTTATGTTGTTGCATTAAAAAAAAGATATTTCTTTGGATATGTTTTGATAAATTTACATGCATTAAACTAGAAATTTCCTTTTTGTGAAAGAGATTTTTCGAAAGTATTTGTAAATTATTCAAATAATAATCTTCCAGCAATTCATCGATTACATGCGAATCTTCTAAGATTATTTACCTAAATTTGTACTTAGTGTATTCAGTTAGTGCTTAAGTCATATACATTTTTTGTTTCTATGCTAACAACTGTCTTCTTTTTGCTAATTTCAAATGCAAATCAAACATGTTGATTTCTGCAAACATTCAATAAATCTGATTAATACTTTCATAGATAAGTCTTTTTTCCTATCTTTTTTATGTTTATATGTATTTCATTCAATATTTTTCGTATTGCTTTAGTTTTTTTCTTTGTTTTGATAAAGTTTATTGATGGATCAGAATTCTTCGTAAGCAGTTAATTAAAAAATATTGTCGTTGATATATTTAAAATGTTGAAATCCGGTTTTGTTGAATCGAAATTATATTTTGGATGTTTTTAAGTTTTCTTGTCTTCTTGTTTCAATTTTTAATATGTTCTACTATTTTTTTATCTCAGTGAATATTTACTTTATTTCATTCTTTGTATTTATTTTATGCTTTTGTATTTTTTTACCATTTAACTTCCAATGTACCTTAACTCTTAACTGCCTGATGGCTTTCTTAATAAACATACTTCCTGTACACTATGTACTGTTTTTTAAATTTAAATTTCAGTTTCATTTTCTTGCCTTTCAATAATTTGTTCATTTTTGGTTATTAATTAGAAATTTAGCCCATTTTAAATTTTAATTTGGTTGTTTACAGTTGGAAGATCTGAAAACTTTTTTCAAATTTTATTCATTTAATTTCTACGATTTGAGAAGTACAAAATAAACTTTGAAAGTTTAAGAGAAAAAAATTATTCTAATTGTTTGTATATACGAAAGTACTCTTTGATTTTGTCTGATCTGTTTTTCTACAATAAAATTTTCAATAATGTAAGATTTTATTAGCTTTGAAAATTTTTGCTGTAACGTTAAAAGATGGGTCATATAGTTAGCTATTCAGAACTTCTTTGATAATTCTTAAATTAGAGATGATAATTAATGATATTGTAGTATTCATTCTGGAATTAACCGTGGAAGTTTTCAATATTCCGAAAGTTTGATTGGATAAGTTTCATGTTAACAATGATGCAAAACTATTTTACTTGGATCAATTAGATGCCGACAAAAACGGATGTCACTTCGTCACGTACGTCGTACGTGCATGAGTTTATAGCTATAATTATAGTTAATTATAATTATAGATGTGATTTTGATTTTTACGTGAATATTGCTTCAATATTATTTATAATTCTGCTTAACTGTGGATTAAAAAGATATAGTCCTTTGCATGGAACGAAAGCTAATGGGAAGATAAGGCATATCAGATTGTAAGCCAATATATATATATATATATTTCTTGAATTCAACAATATTTCTGCGAAATATTCTGCCTTACTGATAGAATAAAAGCAAACGTTGCCTGCAGCAATTTTTCTGTCCAATTAACTTCTTGTTTTGGCTCATTTAAGCTATTCCTTTGAAAGCCAAGACATAGAAGTAACAGCTTTAAATCTAAACTAAATTAAATTTGATTTCATCCATCTAATGGAGAAAAGAGGGAGGGGAGTTCATCATCCCTCACCATCTCCCTTTCTCCCTTCCTTAAATCATTTTCATCACCAAAGGCTACCTCTTCCTTTCTACAAATGCGCTATCTTTTGCTTCCGTACATTTCATTAATTTTTTCCATGATTAGATCCGCACATCCTTAGCTTTTACATACTTCCGTCGGGACAACTTAACTTTATCTCTTTAAAGCAAAACCGTCAACTATTGTTGAATAGAAAATTTGTGTTATTGTTATCCTTATCATCATAAATTTGTATGTATAATCTTTGACTCTTTTCAACATTTTTAACAATTGGATAGGATTTTTTTTTCTACTTCCTAAATTTCATCTTTTCATTCCAACAATTTTAAACATATTTCATCATTTTATGAAATGAACATTTCACGAAATCCTTCAGCAAACAAACAAAGCATTTTTATTGAAAATTTTTATGAATTTTTTTGATCAATTTGATCGATATAATTTTCTACTATTAATTATCACTGATGCATATATGCCAAATGGAAGAAATGAACTAAGAAAGAAAGGGAGGAAGAAAGGAAGAAAAGAAGAGAGAAAGAAAATATACGGAAAGAAAAAAAGCATTTTAAATCTGAGAGTTTGATCATTTTGATGTTTTTTGATTTTTTTTTGAGTTTTTAAATATAAAATGCGAATTTTTAGCATTGATTTTATATGAGAATAAGATGATATTTCCTCCGACAATTGTGATTAATTGAACAAGAAAGTTATGTGCATTTTTCAAAAAACAGATTCGTCTATTTTTGTTGAACGGACAATATGCTTCTGGCAAGTAAAAACTAATTAAAAACTTGATGGAAATCAATAAAATGAATTCGAATTGAATCATTTTTTCCTAACAAAACACAGATTTTGGGCTGCTCTCTATGAGATGAGTTATAAACAATTAAGTGGTGAGAAAAGGAAATTTATTTTCTGAAATAAATCTTCTATTACGAAAGTTAGAATTAGCAACGAGAATCGCAGATTGGTTTTGTCGCTATTTCAAAAGTGAATTCAGGCTCGACGTGTGTCACCGTTCAATGATGAGGTGGTGGTAATTGTTTGCATGGGAAGAGGACCATAAACAACCGAGCCGAAAACTGCAAAATATTTGAATTTGTAACGAAGAGGAAAGAGCGAAAGAAATGAGATGGAAAAATTGAAATGAATTTTTTTTTTATTGCTATTCTTTCTATTAGTAATTGGTTGAAATGAAGTGGATGGTAGCGACAGAAAAGGAGAGAGAAAAAGGTTGTTGAATGTTGAAATGCCTAAATAGAATTACACTGCTCCAGAACGGAATGAAGAAGCCATTTCCCATAAAGCTTGGCTGAGAAGGAAGAGTTAGACCTTGGCCCTTGGTTTGGCCTGAGAAAGGTAGAGAGAAAAAAGGTAAAAGGAAAGGATGCAGAGAGAGAGAGAGAAACGATATTAAACCAATCAACCATTCTTCATTTCATATTTTATTCCAAAATATGATGAGGAAAGTGTTCAACTTTGTCGTATTGTATTATTTTTTGGAAAAGCACAAATTCTTTTGTCGGATCTTTTTTTCACAATTTTTGAAAATTAGCACTGTTGAATGATATCAAATAAAGAATTTCATTTTTTCTTTTTCTTTAATCTGTAAAACTTCCAACATCATTGAGCAATAATAAATTTTTATAACAATTAAATTATCCACATATTATATTAAATTTTTTATTCTTTCCTTTCTAATTTTCTTCTTTTTTCTAAATATAATTAACTGTAGTAATATTTGGTTTATTGAATGAAGTAAGCTAGTGAAAGTGGTAATAAGTTAGTAATTGGTAATTAAGTTAGTGATAAAATGGATAATTTAGTATAAGTAAGTAGTAAATAGTGGTGGAAGTTGTAATGGCGGTGATGATCAGTTGGGAGCGATGTTGCCATAGGCACCGACTGATATTGATATTACCTGCTGGATGGATGGGATTGCTGTAGTGTTTATGTGATTTTAGCAAAAGTCAAATTATTCAAATGAAGTGACTGGTTATTAATTAAATGTCTGAGTGTTAATCGTATAGGAGCAAAAATTGCTTATTGAAATGGAATAATCATTAGCTCATCTGACTGAAAATTATCTTATATGTCTTATTAGTATAGCATTCCTTCTTACATTATCACTTATGTAGCATATATCATTTGTTTTTTCTTATTGTATGTGTATTTTGTTCGATAAATAGCTAGACTTGCATTGTCGATGCAAATGACAGATTTGCATGCGTTCTAATAATCCGTTTATTCTGAATAAAAAATGAGTAAACATTAGATTTCATGAAATTGTCAAGCTGATATGTAACAGAGGAATTTTATTATAAATAATATCAATATTCAGATAAGAAAAAAAGAAGACCAGTTAAAAAAATTAAACTACTAATAGATCGGTGAGATGTAATTTTACGATTGACTGATCAAACTAAAACTATTGTAATAATCGTGATTGTAGCAATCATCATACTACAATACTTCAAATTTAACTATTAGATAGGTGATTTTACGATTGGCTGACTAAACTAAAAGCTATCGTAGCAATCATGATTGTAGCAGTCATCATACTACAATACTTAAATATAATTACGAATATTGAAATTTTCGATAGGCAGGTAAATAACACAGTACGATTCTAATTTACTCTTTCTACTATCCCGTAATTTTAATTCATTAATTAGACTTGACTTGTAATAAATTCAAAAATGAGTTAATGAAATTAAAACTTGAAATAAAAAAGATAAATTGTTTAAATCCTCATTTGTTATTAATATTAAGTGAAAGACAGAAGAGATTTCTTAATTAATTTTTGAGCATTTTCCTTTTCCTAATTATAAGCTTGCTCCATTTCTTTGTAGAAATAATTTATTAAATTTACGTGTCTGCGTGTATTTCAGATGAGCGTGCGTGCGTGCGTGCGTATGTGTGTGTATGTTCGTGTTATGTATATGGATAAGTTATACATGTCATGCTTGTGAGCACTGCTTTAAATTGCTCTAATCCAATGACCAATAAATATATTAAAGTTAAGTACTAAATTCACAGATGAATCACTTTCTTTTCCTCATTCCTTTTTATTTCATCATTTTAATTGAAATTTTGCTTCTTAAACTGACGTTTTATTCCATTTTTTTTTTTGAAACGAATCAGAGTAACTTTTCAAATCGAACAGCAAATGAAACAATGAAGAAAAAGAAAGAAAATAGTGAGGAATGGTTGAAAATTGATTTTGCAAATCCTCGGTACATTTCGGAGTGATGTAAATGTTAAAAAAAGTGACGCTAAGA